TCAAAATCCCTTCTGTAACAGCTTTCTCAATGAAAAGTGAAGATATTCGATAGTATTCCGAGATCAGCAAATGCTAGCAGCAACTACCCGTTAGCAAGGCTGTCAGTAGATTCCCTTTTCTACGGTTGCTTAAAACCAAGCTGATGGCAGACATGATGACTCTAGCATATGCCAATTCCAATTTACCACTGAATTGCGTAGACAGTCGTAAAGGGTCATTTATCCCACTGCCACAGTCGAACCCTTAACCTTTTGCATCACAGCAGTGGTGCTGAATTAGCATTAGTCAAAAACAGTCAAATGATTGAGTAATCTTCGATCGACCACACAAACCGGCGGTTGTTCGAATAGACAGTAAGTGAAAAGCTGGCCACTTTTGAAAAATGTTTTCATCTAATTTTTAAATTATCTTTTCAGCACCACGCCGCCAGCTAAAGCTTTTCGTTTAAAGTCTGCTGCACTTCTCTTGGTTTTTGGGGTAGGCTTTGGAATTTTTTACACAAGTAGAAAGTGGTATTCCAGGATAGAAGAATAATCTAGTCGCATTGCCTAACACTAATAACATTACGAACGAGAAAAACCAAAAACCTCTAAGCCAAGAATTTCAACTCCCAAATGCGTGCGCACACACACACACACGCACACGCACACACACACACGCACACACACACACACACACACACACATACAGAGATATTCAGATTTAAAAAAAAAACAACCCCTTTAGCAAACTTAATTTTTTTTTTCTTACTGAATTCCTACCATTATTTTGTATTAACTCTTTTCTAATTTAGCTTGGTATTTTGCACCGCAGATTCAACTTTGCACTTCTCAGTATTTCACTTTACGGCTGAATGGTACCATTTTTCATTTAAAATTTCTAACTTATCATGAAGGCTTGATGCGAAAATGAAAAGAATTGATTAACCGAAGTTTCTGATGACAGCCGCTTTTTCTTCACAGCTTTTGGTTTCGAAGTTGGTGGTAGGGGTGGCGGTGGTGGAGGCGGTGGTGGTGGAGGCGGAGGTCGGGGAGGAGACTTTGGTTTTGCTGGTGGTTCCACTGCTTTCGGTGGTGTTCGCTGTCTTGCCTGTTCTGAGGAACTTTTCGTTGACTTTACTGCAGCTTCAATATCAGCAGCCATTCGGCTTACTTTTGCTTTCCTCGTTGGATCTGACTCGCTTTTTCTCTT